GTAGGGAAATTGGTAAGCCATTGTGGCAATAACAGCTCAACAAAACTGTTTGTTTCAAAGCTTTTATTCTATGTTCTGCAAAAAAAACCCAACAAAACAAAAAAAGAAAACAAAAAAATTGCTGTTAAGTGTGACAGTGACTGACTTTGTGCTGAAATTTCAGCTATTTAAGATGAACATTGTATATTATCTTGTAAATTAATGTTTAAAGTAGTTTTGTTATTATAGAAAAGTGTTGATTGACGGGTTGCTTATAGCACTTTAAATTATTCTAGAAATGGAATAAAAGCCAAATGGGTTGGCTCAAGTAGATGTAGTTGTATATTATTTCAAAATATTTACATCTCTGGAAAGTTTTAAAACCTTATTTGAAGACAGCTTACTGCTATGGTAATGAGAAAGGGCAGATGTTTCATCTATAATATCCTAATGCTAAATATGAATAGAAATACAGGGCTTTGTTTCCTGTCTCTATGTATAGCTCTTTATCCTTATTAGAACTTAGTACAATGTGTAGACTAAATGTTTACAAAATAAGGAACTGTAAATAAATTGAAATGGCTTTTCTCCCCTTTGGTCTTCCACAGCAGTATTATTGTCTTTGTGGAGTTAAGACTGATTATTACAACAACAAAATCCTGTAACGGATTTTAAGTACTATAAGGTCACAGTGATGTATAGCAAATAAATCTAAATATATGTAAAAATAAACTTGAGTTGGAGTTTTTTTAGGAATTTGAGTTTTCTTAGAAGCCCAAATGATGATTATTGATGTTCATTTAATAACTTTACTGAATATATAGGATACACTTTCATATCCTTTTGGGGGTTGGTTGGTTGGTTGGTTTGTTTTGAAAGCCCAGTGGGAAGTGGTGAGAGTGAAATATGCTGTTTTCAGCCATTTTCAAGAAAAAAAAAATGTATCTCAAATTATCCTTGCTGACAAAACCCATTAATTCAAGTGCTTAGTCTCTATCCTAAGCTCATATTGCAAATAAAGCCGATGTTAGATTTTAAATGTTACTGTGAAGAATTTTATAAAAAATCATGACTTGAAGAGCAGAACATAGAGAAGTGCAGAAGATCTTCAGTAGCTGAATGAGTATTGGACCAGCCTTGGAAAGGCACACAGGTGAAAAAGTAGAAAACGAGAAGTGTATGGTAAGCAGTGCAGTAGCAGTCACACTTGTGTAAATACTAAATTAGTTAAGGAACAGAAAGTCCTTAGAGTTAAATTATAAATGACTGTGGTAACAGTGACGTGAGCAGCTGTGCAAAGAATCTACAGAGAATAATGCATTTCTGTTAATGAAAGACCATGGATTTTGTCAACCAAAGGTGTAGTCCACTTCTGTATTACACATTTAAAAGATTTTATAGATGAGATCAAAGGCACTGTCTTGATGTAACTCCTGCCTTCTCAACGTGAGTTTTCTGCAGAATAATTACTTTCCATCTTTCCTGGCAAGGCTGGCTTCTGTGATTATAAAAGCTTGATGTTTGACATGTGCTGAAGGCATTATGGGCTACATCTTGAAAGAGTTTGGTGCCAGAAGACAGTGTCTCAGCATACAAGCACTCAGATGCATTCATTGACTAATTTGATGTTTTGCTGAGATGCCTGGGATTCTTACCATGTCATTTTTCAGCTCTAGATCCTATTTATGCAAGTAACTGCTTTTGTATGTTCTGCAGAAGAACACTCGTGTATGGCCTGTGCTTGAATCCTCCTGCTCACCTGTATGTACTACATCAGATGCGGTTGTTTGGGTTTTTTTTCACAGGAGTTGTCATGTCTGCATAAAATCGTCTTTGAAGGAGTAGTAGAAACATTTACTACTCACTCAATTTCAAAAAAAAATCTTGATCTGGATACTCCCCAGTATTCCTCATTTAGGACTTGAATTTTAAATCTCTCTTTTCTGTTCTTTCTGGGTAAATGAAGATGTCATCAGGGTGTTTTACTGCTGTCATAGCAATAGGGAGCTCAGTTAAGGGAACAAAACTCTACTCTCTCTCCCATTATGAGTATTTGTTACTGCTGTGTGAAATAGAGCCACGCTGTGGTACTGGGGCAGAGAGAGAGGGTCCAGTGAAGTGAATGGTGAACACTTATTCTTACTGTGGTATGTACAGACCAAACTGGCCCCCCGCCCTGTCTCATTGCATTATCACCAATGTCAGGTCTGCTTAAGCTCTACTTTCTGCTGTCCTGCTTATCTGACAAGCTTTGTAATCCTTGTTAAGTTCCTGTTGTAGTAGTTACGCTGCCAATAGCTCACATGCTGTTGAACACTGAGCTACTTCCACTTGCCCTGTGGTGGAAGGAGCAACTTCAGCAGAGGTGTTGGTGTGGTGCTATATATACACAGCAGCTACAGTAGCTGTGGCAGCAGAGCTTGACAATAGTTGTTCTGTGATCAGTGGTGGTTAAGCATCTCATCACAGATACTGTACTTTCTAGTACAGCTAGTTTTATTTCAGTAACCTTCCCTTGTTTTAAAAATGAGCTGTAATACTGTACCCCGACTATGCAGAAACCTTTTAAAGAAGGAATTGCTGCCATGGAGGAGGCTGCTGATTTCCAGGGTGTGGAATACACGTCCAGTGAAAGATCCACTTGCTTCCAGCCACTGCAGCAACTGCTGTAAGACCTGAAAAAATACTAAGGTATGAAAGACAAAATTATTTCTTCTGACACAGATTCCATGCTGTCACTTAAATGTGAACGCTACAGCCAAAATATGGAAAATGTATCTTTCAATTCCTACATAAGAAGCGAGGAGTTTTTTCAACAGCAAGGAACTCTGCTTTCCTAGCAAACTATACAACCCTTGCAAGAGCAACACAGACAGGAAAATGAGGGAGATCTGTTACTTATCAGAAGGAAACCTGTTTCAAATAAAACATTTGGGGGTGAATGCAGTATTTAATAAAATAATGCATGACTGTAAGCTACCATGAGAGTAACTGAGGGTTGCTCACTCTGTCTGAAAGGCTTTACTTTTGAAACAAGTTAGAAATAATAGGAACACAAGTCTTAAATAGAGTCTACAGACTGCTTTAATAAAGCAGTTTCTGACCTTTATCACCTTACTACTTAGAACTTAAATATAATATTTAAATTTGGCAGAGGTCACACTAATTTCATTGTAATGGAACAGTTACAATATAGTAGGTGAGTTAGACTGGGTAGTTCATGGAGTACTTTTGTTCAGTTTTTTAATGAATTCAGATTCATTTTCACCTACTTTGCATGGATAAACTTGTCACACATCTTCATGTAAAAAGATGTTATAAAATATTTAAACTACATTAAACACTTCCATACATCATAAATTATATCAGTATTTAATATTTCTCTTACATGAAGATTAAATACTTTTCACAGTTTAGAAGGTTTTGCATGGTATTGCCTACTCAAAGGTAAATGATGGAGGGCAGTATGAGGCTGGTCATATCACATGTGTGGTTTTCTTATCCAATTGGAAATAAAATATGGAAAAATGAAAAATTTGTTGTTGCATGAAGTTTCTAACATTGCATTGGGATGACTGAATGGGAAGCTTAAGTTATCTGCACTGAGTTTTAGATTTATGATATATAGTAGTAATTACATTGTTACACAGCTGATCTAAGGAATTAAAGGCAAGGAGAGATTTGAAGAGGACTTATGAGCCTGAAGGGTAGGTTGTTTTTTCCCCTCAAATGTCAATTGATCTAATGTTACCTTTCTCTAAAAACATAATCTCATTTTTATCCTGTATGGTAAATATAAATGCACATAGGTCTGGGAGATCCAATATGCAAGAAGACATCAGCTACATGAAATGTTGGAATTGATGCCATAAAGTGCCACTGCTCTGTTCTGTTGCTGAATGTGTCTGTAAAAAAATTACCAAAGTTCAGTTCTCTGCTACATTCCATAAAGGAGAAAACGGGAAGGTTCCCTATCTCGTCTGTTGCTGAACTACAGTTCAGCTGGGAAGTTCACCCTGCAGCTTAGTGTGTCCTTGCCTCTCTTGCCCCCAGTATTGCTGTATGTGTTATGTGAGACTGGTGAAGCATAGTCTTGTGTACAGTGACTTCTGGTGCGCATACAGGAGCCTGCAGAAAGTCAGATGTCAATGGTCTGTTGCTTGCAAATGTTTAAGTAGATTAAACTGGGTCAGGAACAGTTGTTACATCCAGGGTAAATGCTTAAATTGCCCTAATGAACCAGGAGAAAGATGGCTGCATTCAAGAAGGCCAGCAGTTTATTCAGTCCAAGTCGGGTGTCTGCTTCCCTGCATCATATGGGGTAAGAGCAGTAAAATGCCAGAGCTAAAGCTGCTTGTGATCCATCAGCCCAGCTTTCTCTGTCAGCACGCATGGAGCAAGGCAGAGGTGGCTCTCATGTGAATGAAAATTCTTGGCAACAATTGCTGCCTTTCTTTTGTATAACAACTTCATTAGAAGCAGTGCTCAGCAAGTAGAAGAGACACTCAAACTTCTATGTTCTATCAAACAGGTTGGAACAAGTAGAAAAACTTAACTTACTCTCCAGTTTTTACAGGCTACTTTGGTGACTTATGTCCTAAGCCAGGAACGTTTGTTTGAGTCCTACTCCAGCAGTACATGTATTGGTTGTATTCCAGATCTTTCCCTGAAGGTGAAGTAGTAGATGGCATAGACTTCATATCAAAGCACAAGCTCTTGTTAAATGCTGTAAACTTTCCTAATATTGAACTGAACCACATGGTGGTATGCTATAGTTTGAGTGGTTTGGTACAAAAGTCTATCGCTCCTGCTGCCCTGGGTCACAGAGTGAAAGCAGAGGTGTGTGGTTCCTCATACAATGATGAGGTGCTCTCGGGCTTTAAGTCACACAGGACCATAACACTGAAGAAAACATCTGTGGGGAACTGTATGTCTGCTGTGGTGGGATGTGGGTTCTCATGAGCAGAAATACGTAAAGTCACTAAACACGTCTTTAGTGTGTGTTCTAGTGCAGGTATTTTTTTTTTATAAGGGCTGTTTCATTTCCATGTACTTTGAAATCTTGTTCTGGTGCTTTGGACAGTCGAACCTGTGCAAGGAAATATTTAGCTGCCTCTGAAGAGGAGGATGTACTGATATTTTGAAACAACTTAATGATGTTTTACTTCACAGAATATGCACACGTTTTTCTTCCTTAGTGTGTAGGAGGAATAACTCAAGAAATAATCAATTGAGAGTTTTATTTATAGTTTATGTATTCCTTTGACAACCAAATTTCCTCAAGACAATTTAGATAGCTGTAAAAGTCATTACATAAAGATATAAAGAATAAGGTAAGAACATGCAGGTAAATAGTATGATATGTAAGTATTACACTAAGAGGTCAGTTTTGCAGGTCAGCTTGAGTAGTCTCATCTCAAGAAAATGTTGTTAAATAAGTTCCACTGAATCCATCTTATAATTATTTTTTTTTCTTTCTTAGATTCACAAGATATACCTGTACCTAAAATATCAATTATTTACATAGACTTTACATAGACTTACAATAGACATAATTCTTGTATCACTAACTTATAAATTATTTATTTGTTCATTGGAGCTTCAAACTGGAGTACCTGTACTCTCATAATAAGATAGCAATACTTGTTTTTTCACAGAGACGAGATGTTCATACGCGGTTTCTTCTGTAAGAAGATATTTGCTCTTTCAGTTTGAAAGAATCTTATATGGGAAAAACACTTCTTTTTCGTTGTGCAGATTACCTGCCCATTTGTCTTGCTCTGAAACAAATGCTTTTCACCTGAAGTACATTTTTACCAGGATAGATATTTTTACAGTAGTAGTTTAGAGAAACAGTGATCTGTATAATCCTGTAAATATTTTAGACTTTACAGAGGTCTCAGATTATGCATAATACAAACAATTTTAAGATGTGGAAGTATTAGTTCGTTACCATTTACTCCTCTTCATGATCACCTATACTGAAATACAGTATTTCAATGACATCAAAATGGTTCAGATGGCAAATGCTGCAAAATTTGGCCAGTGTTTCTGTGTAATGGAAAACACCATCTTCCTTAAAGTCAGTTGATTTTAATTATGAACTCCTTTTCAGATGTGACTCTTCTCACAGAGGTACATTTCAGTGGAAGATGCTGATTATAGTCACTTCTTTGCTGTACACAACAGTGCAAGTACCTGACTGGTTTTTTATGTTACACGTTATTTTCCCCTGTATTTCTAAGGACTTTATTTACACGGATAATCAGATGATGCATTGCACAACATTGCATAGGAGGTATTTTCTATGTGGCTATCTATTCAAAACTTTTTTCTGCATTACGTTCTATTGGGTGCTTTCTCTCCAACATCCCTAGCTCTAAATGTGAAACTATCTACTAAATTAGTTATATAAATACATTATTTATAAAAAGTGTTTTGTTTTAGTTTGTATGTGTTATGTAAAAGAAAGCTGTGTCAATAGTTGCCACAAGATAATACTGCAGTAGTATTTGTGTATCTTGCGTGCAAAGGAAAAGACTATGATCTATGTTCAAATAAAACATGTTTTACATACATTTAAATAAATTAGGAGATATGTGCACAAGATCACTTTCACAGATCAAAAACTTGGTCTGAGTTTATAATGTTATTCAACTTCTAGTCTGACATGTTTTATATTCCTGATATCCCTGGTTAAATAGTTGGGAAGATCTTGGATGTGGGAACAAGTAAAAATGGGAATTCATTTGTACCTATCTATGTTGCCATAGGTTCTTATAATCAGCTTATATCCAATTACAGATTTTTTTCTCTGTAGTAATTAACTGAAGTGTCCTGCATGCCCTCCTGGCACAGAGAAAAATGCATTTGGATGCTTGCGTTATCATGCAGTAGTCATAAAACTACATATTTAGAAAAATGCTCAATGTCTTTTCTGTGCAGTGGAGGGGAATCTTTTATTCAAAATGTGCAAATGCCAATAGCAAGGAAGAAATGGAGAGAGGTTTTCCAAACCAAGTTGTTCTGGTTGTAGCATGCTTATTTTAATAAAGTAATTAAGACATTATCATCCCTTCCTTGCCATAGCATTTCTCCCTCAAAGTCCACCAGCCCGTGTTTCCTGGCTCTCATGAGAATCCCGACAACCTTGTCTGAAATACGAACATATCTGTCGAAGAGTTCCCCGAAGGTGACTTGGATCTTGCCATTGGGCCGTGGTTTGGCCATGGATTCGATGATGAAGCACATGTCCCTGACCTCCCGGTGGATGTGGGCCTCGGCTCTCTTGGCTCTTTCGGCAGTCTTGGTTCCTTCCTTTGGATGGCCATAGCCTTCATCTCCTTTGTGCAGACGGGTGGACATGGCCAGCTCATGGTCAAATTCCTCGCTGAAGGGATTCAGCTTCTGCGTTATGATGTGCTGGTCGGCCCATTCTTGCCATCTGTCCTTCAGGCTGTTAACGGGGCTGTATTTCCTCTGGGCTTTGGTGCGAGCTTCTTCGCTAAACCTGCTTGCGCTGAAAGAAACAAAAAGGGTATTTAAGCTTTGCATTACATCCTTTAATTGCACAGGTTTGCTACTGACCTCTTCTATTAGCTTGGTTACTGTGTTTTCCCGGACGAGATGCTCACCACCGGGTGGCATGAGTTCACTACTTCTGAACTGATTCCCTAGGGGCTTTTAGTCCATGCTCCAGTTTGCATTCAAAAGCAAACTGCCTGATTACAACTACCACCCTCCAGCCTAGATTTCAGCCTATTTTGACAGACTTTTGCTCAGAATGACTGTATGGGAGCGAAAGAGGGTATTACTGATTACCTGCACTTTCGATACCCTGGTCAGTCACGCAGTTCCCTCTGTCTGCCTGCTTGAACTCTGCCTGCCCTGATGCTACAGATGACAAGAACTGTATGGGCTGGGCGCTCAGCTATTCTTGGCTGAAAAACAGAGGGCAGTGTCTAGAAAAATCTGTCCCCTGTAATAGATATTGGTGTTTAAAACAACAAAAAGCTAACAGACTGCAGTAGCTCTGCCTATGCTTATAGATTTGAAGAATGGTTCTGAACAAGAAGTAAAAAATTTGTATTCCCGCTGGCAGAGTAAAAGCCTGAAAGCAAGTGAAGGCTATTGAGATCTGTGTCAAGGTCAAAGAATGAGGAAAGACTATCAGAGGACGTACTGATTTTTTTTTTTTTTTAAATGTGTGCACAGCAACATCTTATTGCTGGATGGCCACAGGCGGACACCATTGATACTCTTTTCTCCAGTGGCCAATCTTGCGTGTTGTGGGGAAGCTATAGATATCCTGAGCTGGTCTTTGTGCTGTCCACATCCTGCTGTCACTGTGTCTGTACGCAGCTCGACTGGGGAGTTTGATGTGCTTGTCGCTGTGCCAGAGTAGTTTGTTTTCTAATATTTTTTTCTCCCCAGAAGGCTGCTCTGAAACCTCCCCAGTAATGCCAGCTGACTACTAACAGTAACACTGGAGAGTAAAAATGCAGTTAACAAAACAGCACAGAAGACTGCAAACCTGCAGAAAATTTTGTTTCCCTGCTGTTTGGCCATTCCTCTGTTTTTTACTAAGCCTGCTGAAAGAGAGAACAGGACTGACAGAGACCAGTTCAGGTCTGTGCACCAGAAGGATGTCACTGCTAGGCTGCACTATAGTGCCAGAGAGCGAGAAGTGCACACTCAGTGCCAGGGATAGAAGAAGGAGGAGAGCAGGACCCCCACTTTAGCTGTGGAGTTGCCATTAGCTTGGCTTAGCTGTATTGAGAAAGTGTATTTTAAAAGCTCTGAAATACTCTTCCCAATCAATATGGTGAAAAGCATCAGAAGAACTGAGCATTTAGTGTTGCCAAATAAATGCACCTTTCTTTGGTGGCGAGACTGCAGAGCATCCTGAGAGTAGGCAGTGTGCACGTACCTGTGGTTTTGTGCATGAAAGTGATAATAGGTAGGTGTTGGCAGAAAAGTCTTAAAATATACCAGTGGGGTATGTTTTGTTTCCAAATGATAAACCAACTCCTCCAACATAAGTTGACACACAGAGAAAGGCAAAGCAGTGATCCTTTGCCCCTTGCCCTGAGCTGTGGCTTCATTGCCCAGGGGATCTGAGGGTACAGAGTCTGGTTATGCAAAGCAATTTGTCTCCAGAAACCTATGGATCTCCCAAAAACCATAGCACTGCATGGACACAGGGTTTCTAACTCTAGCTGAAGCTTGGATTGATCACTTCCCTGGCCTCTCACGTGGAAAAGTATCTGTGAAAGGGTGGAGGGGGAACCCTAAGAAAATCGAAATTGCTTAGAAAAAGTGATACCAACAGTCTCAGTGAAGCTGATACCTCAGCCACAGCCAGCTGCTTCCTCTGCTCTCCAAAAGCCATGACCCCTGAGAAGGTCCTGGAGCTTCAGTTCCCCAAGTTGAGGGGAAAGAAGGCAGCGAGTGAGAGGGTGTAACTCTGTAAAGGCTTCATTATCTCTTCTAATTTAACAGTCCAGTAAGTATTCTCTTCTTTGCATACTGAAACCTTTAATTCCCTTTTCTAGCTGAATGCTATTATAATCTTTCTTATCCTAATTGTCTTCTCAGTGGTTGAGAAAAACACCATCTTCTCTAACCCTTTGCTTTTATTGTGCCCTACCTGGTTCTGCAAAAACCTTACTATTACTCTTTTTTTTTTTTTTAATGCATCTTCTGATTTAACCATCTCTCATGGCCAAAGTGAGGTTTTCCCCTTAGTTTAGCTTAATGACAAGTTAACAGGGTAAACTGCATACATGTGCAAGCATTGTTTTCATGTTTGTATAGCACCTACATGATGGATAGTGGATCCAAAACCAAGGTCGTGAACATTAACCCACAGTAACTGCTTTACCTGTAGCAATCAAATCACCTGTTAATCAGGTGATGATCACCCTAAATGCATCCTGAACTTCCAGGAGGACAATATCTGTGTCCATGTTCCCTACGATCCTTTCTATAGGTGAGGAGTATGGATCCCTTTTTAAATGTTTTGGGTTTCACATCAGTATTGTACCCTTTTGGCTCCTAAGCAGGAACAAAACAGTATTTCCCAGCCCTGTAGGTATTTACATGCCTTCTGCTAAGAAAGCAGCCTTATTGCTGTAAATGTTGCAGCTGGAAATTATGAAGGTGCTGATGCAGGGTAAAAAAAGATACTGGTACTGATGCTTTTTTCCTGGAACACAGAGAGAAAAATGGGAAATTTGCTTTAACAACCATGTACTTATGGCCTTTTTGAAGAAGATTAAGCTACACTGACAGGTTCATAAGAGTAGCAGGCTGAAATACTGTATTCCAAGGCTATAAAATATTTTTTTTAAAAATTAGTAGTTAAAAAAAATCCAGTCCTGATAACCGCACTGTAAGTGCAGAAAATTACTTTTGTGTCAGATCTTGATGGGAGGGAGAGTTGTAAGTAACATGGAGGGTGTTATTTTCATCATTTGCACCTCAGTAAATAAGGCTATTCTTTTTTCCCTAGGTACCAGGACTAAAATTAGACATACATGGAAAATATATGTAAAGTTTAACAGAAGGATAGCTATTTTGTTTCTACTATAACATTTTAAAATGAGCAATTTGTTTTAATTGAGGTTATTTACAGATAAGATCAGCTGCAAATATATCCAATTCCCCTACTGCATGTATGAAATCTTTGTTTTGAGGTCTTACCTTCTACGGAAGGACAAAAAAAGCACAAAAAGCAGCGGCCACAAATTTCCAAGCTCTCTGTTACTAGAGAGCTTGTTTCAGTTTGGGTATTAACGCTTTGCTATTTGTGGGAGATGACCGGTCAGCTGTACAGCAAAGCACCCTTCTCATCCCAAATCTGAACAGTTAAAATAACTGTGTGTGCTCAGACAGCTGTGCTAGAAAGTACTCTGTGGTTGAAATCCATTACTATGTTAGCCATAGTCTGACACTTATTAGTAGTGGAGGTGCAAAACCCGAGCAGTGGGAATGGTGCAGCCTGCCTGCCTGTCTACAGAGGGATCGCAAAGTCTTTCGGTATTTCAGTGCTGGTCCCAGTTTTTCATTTCTGAAATGGCGATTAGGATATGATATGAACACACTGGCCCTGGTCCTCCAGTTCCTGCTGCCTTGCTTGTCCTTTACACACAGACTGATTCTCTGCTTTCTCGTCACAAGAGAAGCTTGTGCTGCGTGTCTGCGGGTGACGGATAGGTAGAAGCAGTGGAGCTCCACCATGAGGTTACTCCTGGTAGGAACCCACGTCCTGGTGCCAGCCTCTTCACTCCCTGCAGGCGCAGGCAAAGGAGCTCTGCAGAACCCTGCCTTGGTTCAGGTTTCTCCCTGAGTTGTCCTTCATGTCCAGCCAAGCCCCTGCATCTGCTGTGCCTTGGCCATGGCTCAGTGCACCCTCCCCTCAGAGCCTGCACTCTTCTTCACAGAATCACAGAATATTAGGAGTTGGAAGGGACCTTGAAAGATATGCAGTCCAACCCCCCTGCCAGAGCAGGATCACCTAGACTAGGTCACACAGGAACTTGTCCAGGTGGGTTTTGAATGTCTCCAAAGAAGGAGACTCCACAACCTCTCTGGGCAGCCTGGTCAGGGCTCTGGCACCCTCACAGTAAAACCCTTACAGTAAAAAAGTTTTTCCTCATATTCAGATTGAACCTCCCACGTTCCAGCTTGCTCCCATTGTCCCTTGTCCCTATCATTGGCTGTCACTGAGAAGAGCCTG